GCAGCTCGATCCCACTCTAGAGCATTCCAGTTCATGTCATCTGGAAATATAATTGTGGTTTGAAGATTACTGACAGAACTTGAACCACGAACAATAAAATGCACTCTTTTAATTCAGTGTTTTGTAAACTATTGCTGACAAGCTAAATAACATTTAAAATTTTTTCATATTTGCTTGTTACACAATAAATAAGAATACATATAAACAAACACGACGTGTACAATAAATAAGGTGATTCTAGATTGGGTAAGTGCTAGAAAGGAAATAAACAGGGTTATGTGAAAAAGAGGAATTCGGCAGCTCTGAATCCGGAACGACTCTGGAGGGTTTGAGAAAAGGAAGGAAGCCAGGAGACTAGAACTCTCTGGGTGAGGAGGAGGCAGACGATGTAACATGAAAGGCAGACGGGATCAGAACATACGACTAGAATGTGAAGGCTGGATTTTATTCTGTCCTTTAGTATCAGAGATAAACCACTGAGAGATTTTAAAGGCGGAAGAGCAATACGGATACTATGTGGAACCAGTTAGGAGCTACCGCACTGGACAGAGAGGCAGGAATGGTGGCCGGCACTGGGGAGCAGCAGGCCGCGTCCTCAGAGCCTCTACGCTCGCCTCTCCCGGCAAAGGCGCCTGGCTCCCATTACACAACTCACTTCTTCTCATCCTCAGTCTCGGCTCAAACACATCACTTACTCTGAGCTACCCAAGGGATCATGTTTAAAATAGGTCTGTCCCCATCCTATAAATTTCCTGTGTAAAGTAGGATTTTAAAACAAAAATGTGCCCTACTTCACAGAAAAAGAAAAGTACACATATGTGTAGCCATAAACACAAATTTGCCAAAATAAAGTAAAAACAGGTTAGAAATAGAACTTTAAACCCATTAAATTTTAAAACTCCAGTCTTTCTCCCCAAGGCAAGCTGGGAATGGACTCGTGGCCAGAAGGAAGGGGGAGGACAGGCCAGCGGCCATTACCCTGAGCCCCGTTGTTGGCGTCGGCTGCGTCCTCCCCGCCTGCCTCGTCTTCCTCCTCGTTCTCCTCCTCCTCCTCCTCCGCCTGCTCGTCCTGGGCCTCGGGGTTCTCCCCCACCACCGCATTCTCGGCTGGCGGGTTAGCGGGCTGCTCAGGGGCAACATTTTCAGCACCATTTCCTCCCGCTGGAGCCTAAGAATGACAGAAGCGTCCAGACATTTAGCTAACTTGTCTCAGTTTCGCTCTATTTCCAAATCATGCTCTCTCTTCTTAAAAAAAAAAATACCAAAATAAAAAATAAAAATAAAAGAAGATTAGCTATCAAACACGAACTCTATCAAAATTCCAAAAAACACCTCTCAATGTCATCTTTTCTAAAGGTGTCTGATTTTGGATCAACTTGGTGTATAGACATAAACTCACTTCATGGTGTGTATATCCACACTCGGTATAATTTAGGGATTAACGTTTCCTAAAGCACTAGAGAAAATGGATTAACAGACATGGCTCTCATGAATGCATCACTCCATATTCCTTCTTCATAAGACATCTCCTATCTTTAATGACCGCCTCAGGGATGTAAACATATTTATTTATACATCTGTTTACACACAGATATACAACAATTCTCAGTTGTCAAACATTCGAGAGACACACATCTCATTTCTGTGCGGTAGTTAAGCCAGTCCACAGACTTCATCAGTCCCCACGTGCACTTCCCACCGGCTCTTCCTTAGTTCTGCGACCTTACCAAGCAAAGACAGAGCTGTGTTTAATTACAACGCTCAACTCCCGTTGACTGAATAAAGGTTCTAAAAGAACTGCACTAAATGCTTCAAAATATGAGGTACGAGATGAAAACATTCATGCTGAATAAGAACAGTATCCTTTACAGCCCCCTTTTTATGTGTGTGTGGTTTTCAAAGGAAAAGCTGTACTCTTAATTCTGTAGAGAAAAAGGCATGGTGCAATCTACGCATTGACAAATGCAGGTCGTTAAATAAAAATTAAGTTGTTGATTATCATTTTAAGTATCTTACAATTTTTTCATAATAAAATTTTATGAAGTGTGAATTGTTTTTATAAACTAGCTAATTTTTGATATTTTCGGCCCCATAATTTCTCAGTGAGCAAAATACTAAAAATCATTCATTATATCCTCCTTCTCTTCTTAATGCCTCTAGCAAATGCTCTCACACCAAAGCACATCTGTCTTCTCTCATGAAGAAATAAAACTGCACAAGACTTATCGACAGTGTTCCGATTTTTCTCCTTCTGGCAGTGTTCCTACTACTGGGGGCAGCAAAGGCGGGACACTTCACACACAGAGGGACTGCTGAACGAAGAGGGCAGGCGGCCTCCTCCGTCGATGTGACGCAGCATGGCAGAAGCACGTGCAGGAAGTCTGCGTCCTAACTTCCAGGCCGGCGGTAAGCCGTTAACCCAGGCAAAGGGAATGAAAGAGCATCTGCGCATACCCCCTGACACCGTGCCCAATCTTGCTAGAAAATTAAGAGGCAAAGTCTTTTGATTTTCCACATCTCCATTCATCTTCTCCTAAACCTTTTCACTGTCCTGCTTTGCAGTGAAGGACACAGGAGTCAAGGGTTTGGGTCTTGGAGGGTAACGATAATTGTCATGTCCTGCCCAAATACAATCAGTCCGGGGCGGAGGGAGTTACCTCGTTTTGGTGGTGGCCGGCAGCATTGAAGGGCGGAGCGGCGTGCTCCAACCAAACCGGCGCCCCTCCGTGGACGATCTGCTCTCGCAACCACACCAGGCTGATGAACGCACACAGTGTGCACGTCACCACAAAGCAGCCCTGCAAACAGTCCGCCAATAAATTGTCCCTATTAAGAAAAAATCATACAGAATTACTCCAAAGAACACCTAAAATTAAGAAACCAAAGGTAACACTTCATTTCACACTAAAATTTCAGTAAGGACAGCCAGAAAACTCATCATTTTCTGGGTGAAAATCAGTTTCTCAAAAAGAATTATTTCTGAGGATGGTGAAATTCTATATTATAAGCTGGCCAAATATGTTTTATATATTCGTATTATATTTTAGAAGGCAAAGAATAACATCAGGACTACAGAGAAATTAGCTATTCATCGCCTGTGTTCGAACATGGCTTAGACACAGGAAGGTGGTAAGCAAAAAACAAAAACAGCCAAACATCAGACAAAGGTCACGTATGTGTGTAACTTACTAAAAGTGAACAATCTGTCTGACCCTTACTGAGAATTTCCTTGTCCTTATTTTACACACACGTTTAACAAACTTGGCTGGCTGACATTTGAGTCCATACAAATGAACAGAATCAGCACATCAAAAAGGTGGAAAAGCACCTCCAGAAAGTCAACGGAAAGGAAGGCCGGCTGAGGGGTATTCAGCATGTGACATGAAAGACAGAGAAGTCCATAACATACTTTAGAAATCTGTCACTTCAAAAGCAGATTACATTTTGATGCTAACTGCAAATACACCAAAACTATATCAGTTCCGAACAAATTCAGACAAAGTATGGTTCTTTTATAACCATACGTGAAAATACATGGAGCATTGTAACCCTGGGGACCTCTGTTCCTTCCTTCTCTGAAGCAGCTCGTCCTCCCCTAGTCTATCTCTAATTTCAGAATAATTCAAGGATAACTCGAGAATCTCGGTAGCCTCTGGAAATCCTGTCACAATGCAGTGACTTTTTTCCTCCATGAAAAACCTGAAGAAGGGTCAGCGTGGGAGACTTCACTCTCGTAGCCCCAAATGTAACTGATGTGGCCACATGAGACTCAATGAATGTCCGCTGAGCCATTTAATTCTGATTTTCTTGCTTCTTTACTGTGTTCTGGAGGGCGGAGATAAGAATCTCATGCCCAGAAACAGAAACACTGTCCTATTTGTTTCTACTGCACCACTTCATAGAAGATCTATATTTTTATACAAAGGATTATCGTCTTACACCATTTCCAAACTTTGAACTGTGTCAAATTATTGCTTCTCCTTTCTGTCATGGCCACAGCCGTTAGTGCCCTAATTTCAAGGCCCTGTCTACTTCTAAACATTACTTAATCAAACCTGTTCTTAAGTAATCAAAATAAAAAACAATTCTAATGTAAATAAGGTTCAAGTTCAGAACCTTTTATTTATCTATAAATAATACTGCCAAAGAAACAGACATAAATAACTTGCCTGTTCTATTAAAAAAAAGATAAAATCAGCAAGTAGAAAAAGCAAGTCGCAGACACATCTAATGTTTCTAAGCATTTTCAACCATGATTAAAAGTATTGACAGAGGCTTCCTCCTTGATCTCTGGTCTATCAGAAACATAACATGCTCTCCTGCTCTTGTCTACTGCCATTTGGCTTATTTTGATGATAATACACTCTGAATGCTTCTGCTCACAAGAGGGTCTTGTGTTGTTCTTTGCCTTTACTGATGTAGAGATCACAAACCTAAAGGAGGCTGGGCACAGAAAAAGATTTAGCAAATACAGATGCAATCTTTTGCAAGCTTACTATTCGAATGATCTTGATATAGTTACTCGTTCATAGCATTACTAATTCTGACATAATATATAAAACACATATGTCTTCCGCCAAGAAAATTCAATTACAATGCTTAATGTCAAATTAAGATATAGTAAAACTGCAGTATACAAGTTTTTGGAGTCCGTATTCTAACAGTCACAAGAAACATTTAAAAAATAAATTTGAATTCAAATGTCTATATGTCTACGTTGTTAAAAACACGTTAATGATCTCCAGCATATGAACATAATAGCATATATCTCACACTGCACAACAGCCTTTACACTAGCCACCCCACCATTACAAAACAGTGCTTTTAAGATAGGTATGTTTTAAAACAAATATCAGTTATATATGTCAGCTACTTCTGCTGTAGCTGTAACTGTTAGAATAACAGACATAAATTATTTGTCCTCAGAACAGAAGGACTTTTCAAATTACAATAAACTTAAACAGAAGGAGGAAAGAATGAGCCCCATCCACACGGTGTGGCCTTCCACTGTCACGGGGCTCAATACTCACGTGGACAGCATGTCGAGGGGCAGTGTCAGCAGTGAGCTCACGGAGCCAGTAAACAAGCACTTGTAGATGCGGCCTACCGAAAAAAGGGCATGATGGCACACGGTCACAACCCTCGTGAACTCACACGGCTGCTCGATTACAGAGGTATAGTGAAAATACCATGAAGCCACTGAAATAAACATTTACACTTTACAGGGCTGAGTCTCAAAAAAATTTTTTAAATGGTCAAGTATAAAAATAGTGACAGTGAACAGTAAATGTTACACAGAGATGTTTACAGTTTAAATTCTCTCTAGAGTCAGTTGCTTTTACTGAATGAGCACAGATGTTTGAAAAGGAAAAGGAAATCTAAAGATAGCTCCAAAACTATAATAATGGAGAATTTTTTTAACATAGAATTTTAAAATTCATTGAGTCTGCTCATGTTTTAGAGGTACACATTTTTTAAATTAGGAGGCATTTTCAATAGAGTACATGCTCCAATGCCATAAATAGCAAATTAACAACCACTGTTTAAAAACACAGATTCAAGGGTCCTCAAAATGAGAAAATCTTACATTTGACCATGAAAGGAAAATGAAGTATGGGTGAATGCACAGCCATCATCTCCTTATCTTCTTAGTTAGGAAAGGCAGGAATAGATTTGGAAATGGGGGCCAAAAGAAAACAACTGAAACTTTCTTTCAAACCAGAGCTTATATATTAGCTTAAGCATTCCCTATAGCCTTGTATCAGAAATTTTCAGTGACTTCAATGGCTGTTTTCAAAAGCCAAATCAAAACGGAATAGTAAGAACAGACTTTCTGTAATAGAAATTACTTATATATACATACATAATATTCAAGGCAAGTATGCTTCTAACAAAGTAAAACTGACAACGAACCACGTTTGCAGACAGGAAAATGGATTCATAACGACAGGCATCCCTGTACGCATCCCTGACAAATAAGGCAGCTCAACATGTATTCGCATGAAAATACAGACAGGGTGCATTGCTAACTTCAAGAAAAAATGTTACAGAACATGAACTGTGCGGTATAATTTGGATTTTGTGTTTGTGTATAAACAAGTCAAACAGAAATCAAGCTTGTAAACTGCTACTTAAATCCTCTAAATCCTCACTTAATCTTTGATTATTTGATCTGCTGTCAGAGAAGTACATTACGCGTTAGTCTTCCACTGTAACTAGGAATGCTTTACATATTTCTGAGTACTGTTTTCTGGTACATAAAAGTCCTTAAGTTTCATTTCCTTAGTGGACTATACATCTTATTGATATGAAATATAATGCTTTTCTCCACTTAAAGCTTTTCATCTTGAATGTATCCAGCTCATTAACACTGTCCCTGTATTTTGTGAGCATTAGCTAACTCCCTCTAACATTAACCAGGCTGCCTGGTACTTATTTCTTGTTGTGGAACACTTAAATGTACACAACTGTGAGGCTCTATCAAGCAACAAAGAAATCTAAACCCTTATGGATCACGTGTTGCAACGTTTCCTTCCCCCTCCTTTACTTCCTTCTCTCTGCCCTCTTTTCCTGTCTTTCCTGTCTTTTGTTGGACTTTCCAAATTGTACTTACTGTTTCCTACTCCCACTCCCCAAAATAGGAACTTATCATCTTATTTCTATTCTTTTAAATAAATTACTTATTTATTTAAATTTTGTTTTGCTACTTTTTACTAAGGTAAAATTTACATAAATCTTAAGTGTATGTCTGGGTAAATGTTTATATATGTATATATTCACCCCGATCAAGATATTCAGCATTTCTAGCTCCCCGGAAGGCTTCCCCAAGCCCTTTCCCAGTGCATTATCCCAGACAAAAGGCAACTACTATTCTCATCGCTATTACCGTAAGTCGATTTGGCCTATTTTTAAATTTCACATAAAGGCAATCATACAATCCATATTCGTTTGTGCCTAGCTTTTCTCAAAGAAGTAAAAATCATCCATATTATTTATTCCATGTTGCAATAGTCACCTCTTTTTTTCACTGCTATGTAGTATCCGCTGTAAGGCTAAACAAGAAGCATCCATTCTATTACTACTGGTAGGCATCTGGGTGGTTCCCATTTTACTATTAGCAATGCTGCTATGATAATTCTTGTACACGTGTCCTTTAGTCGACACAGGGCTCATGATTCTATTAGCTTATATTCCCGGAACTGGAACAGCTGCATCATATGGTGTTTATAGTATTCAGCACTAGCAGGTACAACCAAACAGTATTCCAACGTCGTTACACCTTACATATTCACATCATCGATGTAAGCAAGTTCCAACCCTAAGACGCATTTGGTATTGTCTTGTCTTTTAATTTTAGCCACTCTGCTAAGTAGGTAGAAGCGTTTTCTTGCGCATTTCCCTGATGACCAATGATGCTGGGCATCTTTTCATGTGTTTATTAGCTATTTAGATAATCTTCTTTCCAGAAACAGCTGTTTAAATCTTCTGTTCACTTTTTAACTGGGTTATCTAGATATAAGTCCTTTGTTGGATATGTGTATTGCAAATATCTTCTCTCGCTCTGTGGCATGCCTTTCTCTCTTAAAGATACCTCAGCATGAATAAAAGTTTTTCAGTTTTTCATCTTAATTAAGTCCAATTTATCAGTATTCTGTTCCATGGTAATTCTATATTTTCTTTTAGAAGATTTTTGGTTTTAATATTCACATATCAAGCTTATAATCCATCTGGAATAAATTTTTGTGTGAGCTGTGAGATAATGATACAGTTTATTTTTCTCCATATGAACTGCCAGTTTATGCTGTACCATTTGCTGAGAAAATCATTTCCTCCACTGAACAGTGGCAGCACCTCTGTTGTTAATCAGGTAACGAGGCAGGTGTGGATCTAGTTCTGGACTCTATTTGGTCAGAGTATAACATACTTCTATACTTTTAATGCATAGTTACACTGTATTTTCCTATCTACATCTAGTGCCATCTATAATCTCCCCACAAATAAACAACTTTAAAAGCTCTCATTTCTATGCTTCCTTCACAATTTCTCCCATGTTTAGACTGACTAGAATTTTAGTTCTAGGCTATTGTCTAAACATTATTAATTATTGTAGTTTAACAATAACTGTGATTTAGCTGTAAGAAGCACTTGTTTCTTGTTCTTTGTAGCTCACACCTTTCTGATTCCTTGTGCTCATTTTAGTAAAGTATATTCCCAAACACTTTTTTCATAGTTTGAGGTGATAAACTTTCCAAGCCTTTGCATCTTTTGAAATGTATTTTATCTTTCCATCTGAGAATAATTTATGAGATGATTTTAGGTTCTCATAAAAAAGTTTGTCAAATTTTGAAGTTTCTGTCCTCAAGCATTCAATTTGAAGTTTCTGCTGTCTTCTAGTTTCAGCAAAAAAAATTCTAAGTCTGACACTGGCATGATTTTCATTACTTCAAGAGAGAATCTAGAAGCACAACATCTATATGTCACCCTACTCAGCACTGACAAACTTTAGAATGCACCGAGGTTTGTGAGTGCCTTTCCTTTATCATGGTCAACTCTCTCTCTTTCAGTCTAAAAGATGACTATCATTTCCTTATCTCCATTACCTCTTTTACCTTCTGGAATTACCTACTAGACAGATACTGAAAAACCTCAATGCAGCCTCCATCCATTTTTCCCTCACACTCGTAACTTCTTGTCTATTTGACTTACGTCCTAGAGAACTGCCCGCTCAATCTTCTAGCTCACTAATTCACTCTTCTCAGTACCCATTCTGCAATTTGGTGTATCTCCCAAGATTTCCATTTTAATATATCATCAAGTTTATTTTAAGGAGATATGAGGCTATGAATTATATTTATTCAAAAATCTTATTTGCATTTAATTCCAAAAAATTGTATCTATCTATATACTCTGGCACCATATACTCCTCTCCATGTCTTTAAGAATAACAAAGAACCCAAAAGGTATCAACTAAGGGTTAGTATAACAACCTTCCTGAGAGTCTTATGTATTTGAAAGATAAGCCTCTCAATTATCCAGGACGATTAGACACGTGAGTGACTTTTAAAAGGGGGGGAAAAAATCTCCAAAGAATCCATCTTATGAAATCCTTGAAAGCTCTAACATACTCCAAGGGAAAAACTTAAAATTCTTTCCAATTATAGTTTGGTTTTGCTTTTTTCAATTCTTTCATGAACTTTCATTATTAATCTTTGTATGCTGTATTTTTCTTTCTCACATTCAATCAAGAAACTGACCTGTTAAAAATACTTCTTAATTCAGGTGAATAATGTTTTCTAAGTGAGGCTTTTCTAACATATGACATTATATCAAATAATTAAATATCATTTGAACAAAAAAAGTGATACATTACTGTATATTATTAAACAGTTAAACAATGTTTAGATAAGTCTAACCACAGAGAAATGAATACTCACATGCTGTAAGAGGAACAACTCCCAACCATGCGAAGGCCACAAGTGTGTAATGAAACCAGTATCGTATTGCAGTGCCAATACTTGTAACCAGTCCAGCAAATATGTCTTGGATTGGAAGCCGTGAAGGCATATCTGGAGAATAAACTATTAGAGGAAAAAACGTACATATAACTTCATTAAGATTTAAAAACACCTTAATTCATAAATATAAAATAGGCAGTAGAGCTATCTTTCAATATCTGTATTATCCTTAAATATATTTCTTATAAAAAAGTTAATCAAATACTGATGATAATAATACCACACTTACCCAGAAGTCACTTATGAGAACAAACCACATGTGAAATGTAGAAGCCAACAAAAAGAGGGTCTGAGCAGAAAAAAGGATTCCGGGGAATTCGCATCCCTCACTCATAGCCATGAACTTCATGCAAAGCTAATTTACACATATTTTAGCATTCAAACAATAAAACCATCTGGTTTCCCAAATTATAAAAGATGAGATAAAGCAAATAAGAGTAAAAGGTGAAGCTGATGACAAACCTTCCCTCCATATAGAAGCCTCGACACAGCACTCATAGCACTCAACGAGCCCAACCATCTGCAGTAGAGCCATTCTACTTGGGAGCAATAGTTCGCTGACATTCATTAACTACCAGCTCCCTCTCCCCATTTCAGCACAATAATTAACATTCCAAATGGTAAATTCAGGTCTTCCAATCCTCTGCAAGATGTGGTTCGACACTCAGAGAAAGAGGTTTTGTCATGTTTTAGAAAGATTTCCTTTTTAAATGGTTCTAATGAAAAACTGCTGTACCACAGGTATCTCTGAAAGAGCTCTGGAGACGAATAAACATCTCTTTCTCTAGTGAGGCCAAAACAAGGAATTAAGATGTAGAAAACTTTAAAACCAAAGTCTAAATTTTATGAGAGCACTATCACAAAACTGTTCCCAGCTACAAACATTAAGGAATAAACAATTAACAGATAGCAACTTCTACAACACACCCACATTAAGTGATCTCAAAGACCACTTACTTTGAGATTATTTGATACACAAGAAAAAGTCATTAAACCAGTAGTTTTTGAGAGACAGAAAACAGCATATGACTTTCAAATGCAAACTAAGATGTATAAACACAAGCTTTTATTGGCCTCAAAGTAAAAAAAGCTCACTCTAATATTTCTAACCAATCGAACTTCTTGAAGATATTCAATTATTTAGTCTTACAGTCTGCTATAAAACTAAGCTACGAAAAAAGTAAAGACTACAAAATAACAGAATTGACATTTTGAATATAAAGCTCCAAAAGTAAAATTATGATGACTTTAATCATTTATACTCTTCATAGAATAACAAAATAAAACTAATCCTAACTTACAGCATTTATACTCAGTAGCTTGAGATACTTAAAAAAAGCTCTAAAATACAAAATAACCTCTGGGGAAGGAGGGCAATGTACTAGGATCTCAGAATAAAAATTACATTTCAAATTCTTTATAATATGCCAGCATGGTCCTCTAATTATCGACAATGAACAACATTAAATATCAGTCGGTACAGGAATTATAAAATATAACTGAAATTTTAAAGACCTGCAAAATATTTATCATGAGCATAAAAACTATTGAGCTTAAAAAGTCTCGTTTTAAAAAGTAAGTTAACACAGACACAGACGCCAGTATGATGATTATGAGGAGGGCAAAGGGGGTGGGGGAAGGTAGAAAAAAATAAAGGGGGTAAAATATATGGTGATGGAAGGATATTTGGGTGGTGAACACACAATGCAATATACAGATGATGGATTACAGAATTGTACACTTGAAACCTAAATAATTTTATTAACAAATATCACCCCCAGTAAATTTAATAAAATAAAATTAAAAAGTGAGTTAAAACTTTGTCTTTATTATTATTCCAACCTACACAATTTTAACTCAAAAGATATCTCGAATTCGAACAGTACTATATTTGATAAAGGTGAAGGCATCATTATTAATTTTTCTGGGTGAATAATGCTACTACAGTTATGTTTTCTTTTTTTTTTAAAGAATCCTTACTCTTTAGAGATACATACTAAAATATATAGAGATGAAATTATAAACAATGGAATTTGCTTTAAAAAGGATGGAGAAGTGGGGAACAGAGTACAATAGCATGTAAAAGCCATGAGTTAAAATGTCAAACTGAGTGATATGTGCATATGGGCCTGTTATACTTCTGCATACATTTGAACTTGCCCATAATTAAAAAAAAAAAAAAAAACTCACAAATTAAGTCAATCTCTCACACATGTGTATGTTAAAAACTGACATATTTTTGAAAAATATTTTCTAAAAGGTTATAGCAATACTTTCCATTACTATCAAAGACAAACTAAGTTGAAAATATTTATTTCACACTTGTTAAACACCTCTATGTGGCCAATTATAAACCAAAAATGCAGTGAAAATTTCTAATGAACTTACTTGGTGTGAAAGCAAATCTGTGCTTGCATAATTCACAGTATTCTTTTCGACTGTGTTTCAGCCACTGAACTAAGCTGCAATCACAAATACACGCATAAGTACAGTATTTATAACAAGGAAACTTTAAAGTTTGAACACTAATGTTCTGTTTCATTAAAACTTTAGATATCATAGAGCTTTTACAATTTTGACAATTTTGAATTTAGAATATTCCAAACCTTTCATTACAGATGCCTCCTAAAAATACAAAATAGCAGCGAAGATAAAAACAGTATGTATTCCTACTACTAAAAAGGTTCGATTAATCTAAATTGTAATCTCAAAGCTAAATGAATATGAAGACTCTCAAACATCAGCGTCGGCTCTAATACTGGTCTGGTAACAGTGGCACCCTGGGGGCTAGGTCTGAATCCTGGTTCTGTCTCTAACTTACTGGCTGTGTGACCTAGGACAAGTTGCTTAATTTTCTATGCTTCAGTTTCCTCATCTAATAATAAAAACAACAAGAAGAACTTCACCTCATAGTTTCGCTGTAAGGATTAAATGAGTTAAGATTTGTAAAAACACTGAGCACTACCTGGCACAGAGTATTTCATAATGTAAGCTATTATCATGCCAAGCAAAACTAGAAAACCTTAACACTTCCAAAGAACAAAATAAGCTCTCCATAGTATTAATAAATAAATGATACTCGCAAGCACCTGGAAGACAATATACCAAATGACATGGCATGGTAACATGGAATATGGGTATTTCCAAATCTTCACAACAAAAATTAAAAAAATAATTACAGAGAAAGTTCACTGAAACAACCCCCCTTATATAGATAACGAAACTGAAGCTCAGACATAAAATTTCTAAAAGGATGACTCACCATTCTTGATGGATGAACTTAATACTGCCAGTACATACACAAGGATGATAAAGAGGTTTCTCGGGTGTTCCTTCTGACCGACACACTCTACATATGTCTGTTAATGAAAAAGAAAAACTGAATTATGTTTGGTTATAACTTTTAAAAAAAGATAACAGACCGCCAAAAACTAAATTATTGCATGTTAAAGCAAGAATCTATCACTTGGTAAAACATTACATGGAATTAAAAAATTTGATCAGGATGATAATCAAGTATAAACCATAAACTAAAAAACTTCGTATATAAAAAGGTTAACTGTTCCTTTATATAAGAGCTCTGTAAGTATATTAAAGTTGAAAAGAACAGTTTTTATTTAAAACTGCACTCTTCCATGACTAACAAATGCTAAGTAGAAATATGCAAAATCCCGTCACCCTCAGTGTCCTAACAGTTTAAAGTTTAAGTCCTAGCTAAGTCCAGTCCTAACAGTTTACGTTCTTCAAAAACACATCTAAGGACTTAACATAGTAATAGCAATAAGTGGGCACCCGACATCTTTTAGCTTTACCTAACTCTAGGAGACACACGTGCACATGCAATTGCGAGGGAGGGCACCCCAAGACCAGGATGGTACCAGGCCAGGAAAAGGCGAGCCAGAGATCACGGTAAGCAGAAAATCCAGGAGCCCGGGGCTACTGGGTCTGCAGCTAGAGGGCAGCAGTTACCCCTAACCCTCGCAAACTCCGCCCCAAGTGGCTCTCAGGGCACATCTGCAAGCCTTCTAGCCTGGGGTTCCCCCCCGCCCCCCGCCACCGTGGCCTCAGGTGGCCCGATACACACGGAGAAGGAACCTTGACAGATCCATCGTGCTCACTCGCTAATGCTTCTCCTGCAAGTCCACCTACAGAAAGCTGATTGCAACTTTTATTTAGACCAAGTGCCAACATCAAGCAGGAAATCCGCGGGGCGACGAACAGTGTGTACAAGGCACAAGGACTTAACTCAACCCTTTGATCTACTGTCTTACAGGGAACTCCTCCTTGATGCGGAACAACTGCAGTCCAAGCCCATCACTAACGGATTTGACCGGTATCCGCTACACCGGGCTACACAATCGCTCAACCGTGTGGCACGCGGCTCCGGACATTTAAGGGTGTCACAGATTTATGACTGCTCAATCTCCAGCAGCTGAATGCCACTTGTCAAAGTTGAGGAATACTGAGCACTCGGGCTGGCCTAAACGGTTAGCACGCTACACCCCGTGGTTATCAATAAGCCAGACAAATCACTCCGCAAACGAAACGCCAGGTACCGCTACCCGCGGAAGAGCTATCGATGCGCCAATCCTGTCCGTGCCGGAGTGGGGTGGGGTTGTCGGGACTGAGTCAAGTGAAGCGCAGACTCCGGACTCCACTATCGTATTCATTTTGGAACCAGACCCTCCAACTACCACCACCGGAAGGGCTTTGGTTTCCCGGAAGCTGCCCGCGGATCACGGTAATAACGCAACGGTTTTTGCATCAGTTATGGTCAGAACTAAACGAGATCTGCACCTCTTCAAACATTCCACTTTCACCTTCATCCTTGATGAAAGCATTCCTGGCCAAAAGCTTTCACTCTGGGCCTTCGTGCACCGGTCTAGGACTTTGCGCGCCAGTGGTGCAACGCGAACACCCCAGCCCCGCGCCTGATCCGCCTCCGCAAAGTTCCGACACGAACAAAATAGAACCACGGTCCCGATTCCACGACCGCCCGCGGCAGTATTCAGGCAACTCACGCCTACTCTGAACTCTCGATTTTCTCCAAGTGCACACTTCGGCGCGGGAAACTCTGCTAGGAGCCAGGAAGGCGCAGAAGAAAGGGACGCGAGGGCTCCCCCCTACGGTGGCCCCGCGCCAGAAACCCAAGCACAGCATTTCAAATGCACGAATTCAATACCCAGCGCACTGAAGCCGGGATTACCGCAGCTGCCGCCACCAGATTTGCCGTGCAACGGATCCTCCTTAAAAGATTTAAAAGTGGACGCATTCCAATTATAGGATCTCGAAAGAGTCCGGTGTTGCTTTTCACCGCTGCTCTCTCCCGTCGCGGGTAGGTAATTTGCGCGTCTGCTGCCTTCCTTGGTAGGAATAGTCGATTAGGCTCTATGAAACCATACCGGATTTCTTATCACGGGGATTCCATGTCATCGTAGCCGCCATCGTAAGGCACTACGACTTCCACATTAAATTAGTTGACAAGGCTGTGGGACGCGCGATCGATCTAGGTTATCTAGAACCACCAGAGAGGCTGGTGCTCGTGGACATAGATTAGTTCTAGAATTACTACGGTTATCCAGATAGGAGCAGAACATGCGATCAAAGTCATTCGCAACATCACCCAACCAGCCCAAGCGTTTGGATGCCCGGGGTTAACTTTAGCGACACGCACATGCTACCGCAAGATCAACCAGGTTGGGTTGACTGAGTGCAAATGTGCGTGAGACGAGGTCAGACAGTGAATCGGTCCCACCTCGTCCTGTCTCCCCAGCCAGCTCACAGGCAGGTGCAGAGGTAGGAAGTAGGGCGCAGCAGCGGCAGCATATCAATGGGTGTCCTGTCGTCAGGGCACAATGCAGAGAGAAGCAGTGGGAGATACTGTGCTCACATAAGTAAGAGTTGCTGCACAGCCCTCCAAAAACACAGTAACCTGCCGGCCACCACATATGCAGCAATAGACTGGGGTAGGAAAGAGATTATTAACCCTTGTCGGCACACTGCTGCCAGCAAGGTGCAGGGCCTTAAACTGCGATCGATACCCACGTGGGTGTGAACCATAACTAGGTGGGCTCTCCTGACACATGGACCAGCTGCCCACAAAGGTGACCTTACCCTACGTGGCCCGATAGAGTTGTGGCAAGACATGCAGCACCTGCTTGCCATTAGGGGGGCTGGCGGTAGGGTGAGGGCGGACATTGGAGACCCAGGAGCTCCACTTAGGGAGACTGAAAAACGCACCTGAATAAGAGCAGACAAAGATTCTCAGAAGACTCCATCCTTCTGAATGAGAAACCAACAAACTCAAAGCTAAGCAAACACAACAAACCTAAATCACGCTCCTGGCTCTGCCTAACACAGAGTCCAACTCAAAAGTGGGACTCACCAGGCCTCTGCAAGATCAAAACTATTTTTGTTGTAACACTAAGACTTTGTCTTTTACTCCCATTGTCTTGCCAGTGTTACAGTAAAGAGTTCCAGATGCTACACTAGACAACTGATTGAATGTACCCACAGATGAAAAAAATCCAGCTGCCTCCCATTAAACCAGACGTTTAAAAGACTTGTAAATAAAAAACAAATCTACTCTTCTCACCAATATTTTGGGTTTAGAGTATATAATTATTTCATGAAAAAGAATATTTCCAATTTTTAAAGTGTCTTACATGAAAAATAAAAAGCTCTTCTTAGTCTTCACGTTTTTAAAAGTATAAAGGGATCCCAAAACCAAAAAAGTTTGAGAACCACTGTTCTATAGTATGTGTACACACACACACACACACACACACACACACACACACTTGCTCATGGAACCTTTGGAAAAAAATCAGAATATTTATGGTTCTCTTGAAATACACATATACACATTTTTTCATTATTTTATCAGAGGTTTCACAAGCTTCCACTGATTCTATAAAAGGAAAGAGAAGGGAACGTTAGACATCTGAATCACCTTGTTTTAGAATCACGGAAATCTTTTACATAATTATAAAATAAAATTATATCGAAATGGAAAAAAAGCAACCCCTCAGTCAAAAATAAATCAAACAAATGAACCTGAATAGTAAGCTCAACCACAGAAGATTATTATTTTAGAGACTTTAAAACAATAACATGATCAATCCTACATCCCTCGTAGGCTATATCCTAAGAAGAATTGCAAAGAAATTATAAACAGAATTCAGTAATCATTTTAATAGCAATAACACTAATAGTCATTTTAATACTTGGAGAATAAAGAAAATAAGTAGTGTGACGGTTGAACTGTGATTATGTGTTTTTTGTTAAGAAGTTAATTCTCAGACTACATTAAGTATTCATGGATAAAAAGATATATCTGGGATTTGCTTTAAAATAATCCGGAAGTGTGGAAGGGGAAGGAAAGGGTTAAGACAAAAGAATTATCAGCCATATGCTTGTATCTGTTGAATGCTGGTTATATGGAGGTTTATTATGTTAGTCTATTTGGGGAGTATTGGCAACTGTACATAATAAAACTTTTTTAAAAATAAGGAAAGGTTAAATGTACAATTTGCAAATATCACGTTGAACTTTTATTTTACTGATGCTACCAAGTCTGATTTTACTAATGAAGTTCTTTAGCATGTGATCTATATAGTACATAAATTTGGAAACTCATGTTAGCAATTTTCTTATTTCACTGGTCATGTTTTTTCACTGGCTTTATATTCATCAGGAAAAGCAAGCAGAATCAGATTTAAATCATATGTCTCAACATTCCTAAAAGCCCATTTCTGTACAACCAACAATCCAATTCTAATTTAAAACCATTTAATCTAAATGTCTCTAATATAGAATTTGATCTAAAAAACAATATCACAAATCTTTTACAGTATCGACTGTCTTCTCCCCACATGTTGATGTGATTAAATGAGTTTTGTTCAAAAGCACTGTATGTATAAATATTCCCCTAAATGAAAAGGCAAAGATTGTTGTTATAAGTCAACTAGAACAGTGTTTTAAGCTCTAGCTATAAAACACGTGTAAGGCAAACATCCAGCTGTTTAGCAGGCCCTGAGCCCTGCTTAGACTGTGTCATGGGCATATCCACATCTTATTAGGGAACTGGAGGCCAGGAAAAGCTGTCAAAGAGAGGCTGCACCTGCTCTCGTTCTGTATCTTCAGCTAAATTTCTTTGGCTAATCTATATGTAGTGTAGTCTAGAAGGAATGAAGCTTCCCTGCCAATCCATGTTCAGCAGAAAAATCTGAAACAAGGCATAAATTTACAGAGCTAAGCACTTATTCTGCAAGGGTACATAAGAAACTACTGCTACCTTTGGTGGATCAGAGTTGGGGAAAAGAAGTCTTTTCCTTATTTCATATGTGTGATGTCTACAGTATATAAAATTGTGTGGCATTTTGCCAGTCTCTTACTTTTAAAATCAATTGTTTCCTATATACTTATGTACAAAGACACGTATAAGAATGTTCGTAGCAGCACTATTCATAATAATACCTCCAAGATGGAAACTACCCAGGTTGCTTATCAACGGTAAGAATGGATATATAAATCTTGGTATATTCTTTCACATAATACTATGTCAATGAGAATAAATCAACTAAATAAACCACAATTTGGACTTATCTCATAAAGCGATGTCGAGTGATAAACAATCCAGACACAAAGAGTACCCATTATACAATTTCAGATGGACAAAGTTCAAAAACAGGAAAAATTTACATACATCATTACAAGTGGTTACCCTCTAGGGGAAGGAAGCAGTAAAGACTGTAAGAGATCTAAAGAGGACCTAAGGTTCCAGACCAAGATGAAACACACACTTCTCTCTATTCCTCCTGCCAAGAATGGCTAAAAGAACCAGGACATTATATATAAAACAAACATAAGAAGACTCTAAAGGTAAAGAGAAGGCAGACCAGCAAGGCTGCTGAGAGCCCAAGGAACCACATAGCAGTTCCCTGGGTTTGCATTTTGCTTCATGTATCCTGGACTGGTGGCAAAGGTGGAGAAGCTGGCAACCTAGAAAAACCAATGAGAAGGGACAGAAAATTTCCCCACAAAAGCCTGCTCTCTCTAGACAAAGGACCAGGAAAGGGGTAACCCAGCAAGACAGAAAACTTAGATAATAACTTCCCCTGTATTCCAAACATCACAGGAGATAAATGCCACCCAACACCATTTCTGCCAGCCAAGGCCACATGGAGAGCAGACTTAGATTAGCTAATTCTATTTCAGTTACTGAAACCTAACTATATTATCAAGGAAGTTAATGAGGAATGAGGATTCAAATCTAACCCCCAATTCCAAAAGTACTCCTTTGACTTTATCTACTTCCTCCCCAATCGTACAAGTTTTCTTGAATTTTTTCCTCTATAATAATGTCAGTATTCTATATATCTTTACCATCTACTCTTCCAACTTTATTATATTCTCCAAGTGGAACAGGAGATGGTTCCCTCTAGTAAAATACACTATATTATTAAAAAATATAAGGATAAAAATAGCTAGGTAATACAGCAAATTAAAAAGTAGTTTCATCACTAGTGAAGCCGGACAGTTCCCTATTTTACTAAAGTTCTCTTTTTGTGAATTATCTGTTAAAGTCCTGTCTAGCTTACTAATTGGAGTCTTAACAAGAAAACAGTTCCCCCCCGCCCCGGCCCAAAAATAATCAGCAAAAAATTTGAACACCCATTAGGATGGCTATAATCAAAAAGGACAGATAATCAGTGTTGGCAAGGATGTAGAAAAATTTAATGCCACTGAGTTGTATATTTAAGATGGTTAGAATGGTAAATGTTGTTATATATATTTTACCACTAAATGAAAAAATTTTTAATCACAGTTAAGTACAACTATGTACCTATTAAAATGACGAGGGAAAAAAAAAAAAAACAACACACAATCCAGCAATCCTATTCCTAAGTATTTAACCTAGTAAAATGAAAACTTATGTTCACACAGAAATCTACATGAATATGTACGATGGAATCATTCATAATTCCCCCAAACTGGAAACAACAGACGCAAATGTTCTACAACTTGGGATGGATGAACTGTGGCACATGCCTACAAGAGAACGCTATTAAGCAGTAAAAATGAAGGAACTACTGGTACATGCAACTACGTGAATAAATCCGAAAACCAGACTCAAAAAGCTATATGCTGTATGATTCCATTTATGCCATTCTGGAAAAGGTAAAACTATAGAAACAAAGAGATCAGTGTTTGCCAAGGTCTGGAGGTGGGATTGACTATAAAAGGGTACAGGAGTATTTTGGGGAGTGATCAAGCATTCTA